AAAAGTCAAAAAACGATTTTTTTTTTTTTTTTTTTTTTTTTTCCCAGTACCATAGAAGACATGCACGTGGGGGTGATAAACTAATTATTTTTTTTATTGGGCCTAATGACTTGGCTGAATAGGTAAGTCTCTCTTATTGATACAGAGTAGAAGGTCAATGCATGTCAACAAATACATCAATGGCCTATCTGATCTGAGTTTTTATAATTATTGGTTATTGAAGGTATATTGCAATATTCAGCTACTACAGTATTGATTCAGCACATGATACATTATTCAGTATGATTGTTTAAAGATGTTGACCTTTGACATAGAGCTGTTGAAACTACAAATTAAATATTATCTAAATGCTATTCTTATACATGCTTTACCCTATTTGATCAATTGGAAATACTGAACCCTATGCGCTCTAGATAACCTTTCTTAGTTGATAATGAAAGAGTATTAGGTACGCACAATGGTTGACCCAGGTCAAGTGACCAACAACTAGAATATTGTACCTATTGTCTATCAAAGCATGATATATAATATGTAAACGTTTATTTAATTATCCTTTCGGCCTTTCAAACCTCCTGGAGTACAGAATACTGTGGCTAGGAAAGTAATATTTGGGAGCACACTTATAAATCTTCAGGTTTGTAAACATAACATTTTTTTTCTTCAACCTCAAGTTATTTCCTATTCTCTGAATCACTATTGTAATGTTTTTTCAATTCATAATATTTCATAATAAGTTTTGGAAGATGCCACTAATCTGTTGTATGATGAAATTGTTGTAAATTATAGGTCTGGTAGACAGGCTCTGCAAACCAAAAGCTAAAACTACATAAGAACTTATTAATATCTTTTCATTTGCTCATTTAAAAACTCCAACTTCAACTGGATACACTATCTATATCATCTATATGCCTTGTTTTTGTATTAAATTTTTATGTGTATGATGTTTATTTAACTAACCATATCTTATATTTTTTATTTTATTTTCATAATTATTTTAACCCAAATATATAACAAGTGAAACAAATCTCATTACATTGTTATGAAAATATATAATATTTATATCATGGTGTTATATAATTTTGATATACTGTCTGTCAATATAATGCTTACAATCATTTTATATTTTCTTGATTTGAAATAAACAGTTCAAAAATGTAGGGAATGACATATTTAGTCAAGCAAATGAATTAACAGAAGATGTATCTGCAAACTGACATGTTGGCTACACCTAGCCAACTGCCAAGGTTGGGTGACATGTGTACAGTACACAATAAGGAATTCTTCACGGTTGCGGTTATTGGTTGATTTCCCATTGATTTATGAACTAGGGGAGGGACAATTTCAATTTGCTGCTCCACAACAGACATCCATTCGTAGAAGCCTTTATGAAGAAAGTTTTTCTAAACTGGCCTAGATGCACGAGACCGGCTAACTCCGGCTTTGAATATAGGAAGATTGAATTGTGTTAAAATGAGTACTACATACAATGCACACAATGTTTACGAAAGTCCCAGGCCTATTTTCTAGTACCTTAGGCCCTAGGTTTGGTTTATTAACTATAATGGCAATATAATAATAAGAACAGGAAGAAGGAAGAATAGGAATGAAACTTGGAGTGGTTAAAATACTGAAAATCTACAATCATAGTCATATACCGTTATTGTATTACGTTTTTTGTAAACAAAATTTAGGCACTATCATTAGAGGTCTCGGTGCCAGCAGCCTGTACACGTTTCATAATTTGACAGGTATCAAAGTAGACAATATGTTGGCTACACCTAGCCAACTGCCTGCAAAAGGCTGTGTGACATTACACAATAAGGAATACTACACGGCTGCGGTTCTAGCTTCTGAATTTTGAGGTTGTATGTTCATCCCTCACTTGTGTCCTTGGACAAGACACTTTTTACCTGCATTACAATTGTCTCTTTCCGGCCAGGAGTACAAGTGGATATCTGGTAGGTTGAAACACAAAATGTGCTGATTGAACCCACCGTTATGGAATTCTTCCCGGTGAACTGAGTATGTGTTCCATACGTGCTTGATCCAATGGCTAGGAGGGGGGAGGGGAAGCTCTTAGAGGCCTTGTTGGCACTGATGAAGTGCTATAAGTCTAACATATTGCTGTTGTAAAGCTTCATTCAAGTTTGTGCGCATCATAGCAAAGTTAGTGTGAGATCGAAACAAAATATTGTTACATGGTTTGTTTCGCCTTTTTGCACACAAGCTGCATATACCGTTCTATAACGAATGAAAGACCGCTGGGATAGGAAATTTATACTGTATATGAAATGTACAGTATATTGACGACATTTTCAACACTGTTTGCCCATTTCAAAGGCAGTCTTTGATTTGTGTTTCAGGAAATATTTGTAAAAGTCAGCTCAGCATACCCTGGGCTTTTGCCTGGTAAAACGCTGATACTACACATGGCTCTTATTGTAGACCTGCCAAGTGTCCTGCATTTAGCATCAAACTCATGCAAAAATTTGTTTTCTCGCAGTCCTGCCCGCAATTGTGAAATGTAGTTAAAAGTCTTGCTTTTCTTTACTGCATAGCTCATGCATGCCAAGAATGGTGTATACTCTCGTATTCTACAAAATATATTTACGAAATGAATTGCCTAAAATGGTTTACAGTAATTTTTTACTTCATATATTTTCCCCACACCTGTACAGTGTATTACGTTTTTTTCCCCATACTGTATACTTGGCAGGCCTATAGGCCTTCACAAAATCATACTTAAAGTAGAAGGTTATTATACCTTCAGAACTACTGTAATATTTCACTTAAAAACATAGTACTGATTTTCAGTTAGAAAGTACAGTAGCTGCAATTGTTTAAATGCAAAACAAAAAAATAATGTACAATGTGTTATATAAAGCCATGTAAACAAAGTAGGGAGGGAGGGAGGGAGGAATTTGTTTTGTAAATTTAACTGGCATGCACAGCAGGGTGGAAATACTATAGTAACCACACCAAACCAAACAGAAACAGTGAATAACATAATCCCACTTTACACCAAATGGCCTGGGCAATAACTTCGTGATTCCTATTATCTATGCAGGAAGAGTGCTTATTATATAGGGCAAGATAATTTACTTCAATTGGACTTTTAAATGTTATTTGCCAAGTATTCGACCATGTGTACTGAACCAGGAGACAACTTGGCGATGAGTAATGATTATTGACAATGTTTTATGTCATATCTAATAATATTATGTTATGTTTTTATCTTCCCATCTGGGCTTTGAAAAAATGTATGGTAGTCTCAGTAAAAAAAAAAGAAACACCAAATTTAATAGCCAATCAGGATCAAAAGGAGTACCGTATGTACCAATTGGGCCTAAAAGGCCGGATAATAGGTTAGTAGAGAGGTAAAGATACTGAACTATTGGAAGGTCTTTGGTTCTGGTCCAAATGGGAACGACATGTTTCTCAAACTGCTGTATAATATGAGTATATGAAGTATTAGCAGTGGCGTAGCTAGGGGGTTGGGGGAACCTGCCCCGGGCGCCAGGTTTGGGGGGGAGGGGGCCCGCTCAAATGGGACAATGAGAGTAAAGAAATAACCACTTTTTAAAAAAGGATGACAAAATTGATGTTTGTCATCAGGCATGAATATTTTCCAGTTCATAAAAATCTTGAATGTTCTTTTTTACGGCAAATTTATAGATTGTGATTTCTTTTCAGTCCATGTCGACCGTTTTCTCTTTTTTTTTTTTTCCTATTCTGTAATGACTACTTGACTAAAGTTCATCCTGCCACGATGAGACAAGTGAGACTATCTGCTTTGTCACTCATTAGTATTGAGCGTGATGAAGCAGACAGCATTGCTAACTTTAATCATGTTATTAACTTATTTGCAGATGCAAAAATTCAGTTACGAGTTTAAACAATGTTACAACTTGCTGTACAAGACAATAAGAATACTAAAGCTGTATGTGATAAATACAACAGATACAAATTTGGATAATGGTAAAGTTGTATACAAAGTTCCAAACATCGTAATGCTCTTTCAGTAGTAAGAAACAGGGGTGGTGGGGACCCCTTTCGGGGATAATCCCCCCTCCCCTGGTCGAGGAGAAAACATCAATTCGCCTGGGACAAAAAAAAAAAAAAATTTTGTACATGTTATTACTCCTAAATCGATCAAATAAGCCTTTGAAACCCATAAATTGTCAAAAAATTTTGATGAGGCATCACCCAGGGTGGAAATAGCAACCGCACCACAACCTCACCCCTCTACCCCTGTAGCTACGCCACTGAGTATTAGGCCTACATATGTCATTCTCATGAACAAGAAATGCCCACTTAGTTCACTATGTAAATTGTATTTCTGTTTCCTTAAAGTTTGTTCGTGACTTATCTCATAATGTATTTTCTTTGATGTCAGGCTCACATCCCAGCCTATAGACCAGGGGTGGCATACAAATCGAGTTGAAGGGCCAAAGTGAACTTTTTATTTAACACCGAGGGCCTCAATCAAACATTGATGTTTACAGTGTGCTTGCAAAAACCTACACATGCACTTCTTTTATACCAATTTATTCTCGGCTTTAATATTACTTTTTACATAGGATTGGTGTCGGTCCGTAAAAAACGAGTTGTTTTCTAGTCAAAAACGTTTGGCGGGCCGCACACATAGGGTCATATAATGACGGATTGGCTAGCAATGCATCGTACCACACACGACCGAGTTAATACGCGTAGTAGTAAAATCACGTCATATCACACGTCACGAATGTGACATGTCAACTTTACACTTCCGGATTCTTGCTTCACACTTTTGTGAATGTCAACTCACGCTCACAATGTCAACTTTCCGCTCCCGGATTGACCAGGATAGTATTGCCTGAGAGCAGTAGACACAAAAATGAGAAAACATTCAAGAAAATGAAGTTACAGTATAGAACCACAAAGCTGCAGCTCCAAATTTTGCTGAAACTATAATTTGCTGCTTTTGATTGTTTCTTTTTTCTTCATATTTTATATTATAGACTGTGGTGGATTGGGTAACGTTTGGTCACCTGACTTAAAATTTGACGGTCGTGTTTCACCCATTGATCCAGAAATGAGTAAACTGAAGCTTCAGACCACCATTCAGGTATGCAAACATTGATCTTGTGTTTTTTTATTTTTATATAATTATCACAATCAGATCTAAATGCCAAACCTTTGGAAAATTAGAAATATGGGTAATCTATTATTCTCCTCTTTAATCAAAATTAATTTCATGATTTTCTATACATAATTAAACCATCAAAGTTAAAAAAAACTCACACATATATTATGCTGCTTGTTGCGTTAAATTGATTAAAAACTTAAAACAACCAGATCTCTTCAAGGGTTAATGTTTCTTTGCAGTAATAGTGATAAAATATTGCACTATTTGTAATGATGTAAATAGAATTAAAGAAACAAATGAAACAGATTTTAAAATACTTAATTTAGGTAGAAATGTTAGGGACTTTTTAATGCCCTCTAATCTAAAGTGATAGTCAAATAGATATTCAATATGAATTCCTATTGCTTTACGGCACAGGAACCAAAATTGCTTGTTTCACTTTAAGACAACATCATCCAGGGTCAGAAACTGGCTTTTATAGTGATTTTGATGATATTGATTTATTTTTATTTTTGAAGAATCTCACAGGATGTTTCCTTCCTTATTTATATAGGATGTACTTAAAAGGTGGGATACACCCACTCTATTAATATTATAATGCATAATATTTCCTTGTATGTCTGTTGTTTTACTTTTGCTTTATATTAAGGAACTTTAACGTCCACGGTGCACTTTTGTTCTGGTTTGAATTCTATATTAAAAAATGATAGTCAAATTATAATTCTTTATTTGTAAAAACTAATTAAGTTTACATTAAGTCCAGTTGACAAACAAGAGATATCTTGAAATGCAGACAAAATTTTAAAAACCATCGATGTCAGAAAAGATCAAGCTACAGATCTAGAATCCACACATCATATAGTTCACCCAGGTCATCAATCCTTTGCATATAATAATTCTGAATATACAGTAATAAATGTATCTAATAAAGTAAACTTCGACAAGTTTACTATTAGTACATCTCCCTCAAATTAAAGACCACTTTCACTGTGGTCCAAAATTAACAAATGTCTTTAATCTTTATTAATTCTAATTACAGACCAATGCTGCTAAAGACCATGGAACCACAGCCCCAAAAGTTGTCTTTAATTGAAGGGAGACATGTATTTAATTTCTGTGGTGCATTAAAAAAAAAAAAAAAAAATCTGCAAAATTCGCACCTTTGATGTTATCCATAAAACTTTTTATGACTATACCGATAAACATCGGAGTAAATCATAAAGTGTCACATACTTAACATAATTTCATTGCTTGAAAACTAAGCCGGAATAAAAAATCCAGGTTATTACTATTATTTATATTAACCATTGGCCTTAATCATAAATAAGTAGTGAAGTTATCAAATAACTGATGGTGGAAACTAAGTGACATGACTGAATTCGTGGAGGAAAGTAATGTTTAATTGTTAATTTAAATCTATAGATCATAATCAAAAAATACACTTGTGTTTTTTCCTTTTCTTTTTTATAAACATCAAGCTAAACATTGCCTTGTTCTACTAAAGTATTATACTAAATAATTTTTACTTGCTATAATTTATAGCGGAATTATAATGATTAATAATTTGGTTTATTGTGAATATAATTTACCTTTGTCTACATATAGTATTCTAATCTCTATTAATTCTGCTAATCGCCCCAGTGTAACTTCACCTATCTCCTTTGAAACCACTGGCAGGAATGTGCTCATATCTCATACACTGGGGTTTCTATATGTCACGACCACATTCCGCTACTTTTCAAGGCTGGATTTTGAATAACAACGCAAAAAACATTTTTAAAAACACCAAAAATCAGTATTTGTTTCGCCATGTTTCGCGAATCACTTACGTCACATAAATGTCGTGCAGCTTCATTACGTCACCGCGCATGCCTCACGTCAACAAAATATATGAGCAGCATGTACGCCACCATACCACAGATTACCCATTGTATACTAAATATATCTTTACTGTAGTCAAATGCCTCAAAAACGTCAGCAATAAATGGCATATTTTAGAAATCCATCAGGTAAAAATAAATGTATACTTCGGCACAAGGCATGATATAAGCTATGCCTAATTATTTTTGGCTTAAAACAGCAGTGTAGTCAGAAACACAGCAGTGTACAATACAGTGAATCAAGATGAACGATAACATTTTTAAAAAGTACTCATTAGTCAAACACTGTTTCTTTTTATAATAAAAATGAAGTAAGTGACAATTTTGTTCATAAATTAGGTTTTACAATGCATATTATCTTTTCTCTGTTGCCATGCTATTTTTAAATACGAGATAGAAAGATCGTTCATAAATTTGCTAGACTTTCCAAGAAGTAAATCCATTTTAGTGTTACAATCTCCACCCATAAGTAATAATCAGAATTTGATGTGATTTTCTTTTCCGCAGCGATATATTCATCAGATCTTATTATGTTAAGTGTTCTACATGTAAACATAAAATGTATGATATCCTCTTCATTTTCATGGCAAAGAGGGCAGTGTTTATCAACAGTAGAATCATAATTACATACTATGGCATTAAGTTGGAGGGTATTGGATCTTGCTTTAAATTTTAAACTGCTTGGACCCTAGAAATCAGTTTCATTTTTTAAATAATCCTCCATTTTAGGGGATTCCTTAATTCTAATATAATGAATAAGGGATGATTTGTTGACTGCATTACTAAAACATGTTGACATTTCAGTTGACTATAGCATAATCATACTCTTTTTCCAACAATTTGCACCTTTTTACACATTCTCATCTGAGTTTTCCAGAAAACCTGCAATGATCATGCCATCCTGCTAATCTCAATCGGCCGATGGCCAACAAGCTAATTCCACCACCACTAATTTTATCTGCTATTCTGCTGTTATGTAATGCTGTACTCACAACATTCTTGTCATGACAAGCCATGCTCTCTGGATGATTGTCTTTTCCACCGCACCACCATTCGTAATTTGCGGTTTCCTGATGTTTTTCATTCAAAATGTGCCTCTTGAATTTAATAAGTTCTCATAAGAACCCCTCGATTTTCATTTATTTCCATAAGTGCCCTCTCAATTTCCACTCTGTTTTCATAAGCACCCCATTTGAATAAGCGCCCCTCAAAAAATGCAAAATATTTTTAAAAGCGCCTGGGTGCTTATTCGCGTGATTACGGTACTTTTAGTAAAAACATGCAAAAAAAATTATAATATTTGCAGAAGATGGGTTAGTTCTTGGGATATTTTTGCTTGCTTGCGGGTATGTGGGAAGCCGTTCAGATTTTCAGAAGGCTCTGCGACTGATAGGATTCTTATACCCTTGGTATTGTATATTACCTGACAATCTAAACTGTAGAATGAACCATGATGAACAATACTCAACTCAAAAAGTAAAAGCAATTGAAATGTACTTAATAATATGATTTTGTAATGCATTGTAGAACGCTGAATAAAGTTTACTTTTGGTAATCATTAGAGGGCATTTTATTGTTCTTTATTTTTGGGTCCATGCAAGGTGCTGACCCCAGAGCCTCACTGTTCTTGTTCTTGTGACCTAAATAGGTTATTAAAGTATACAAAATTTCCTGCACGTCCGTTCAAAACTGGTGATGCTGGATGATTTTGAAGAGGTGATTTCCAACAAACGTTCATTGCCCTTTTTTTAAGTTGGACCTAAGGGTTCCCCTTTCACCTACAAAACAAAACAGGGCTTCAGCAAGGACTGTACATTACTGCTATTACCACTAATAGGGCATGTCGCATAAATGGCACGGTCGGTTAAGGATGTGTTTTAAAGAACTTAATGTTGTCAGTTCCAATCGGGTCTTGGTATTCAATTTTTTTTTTCTTCCAATTTTAAGAAATTCTTTTTTTTTTTTTCCATTTTAAAGATATTTTAATTTTGTACAAATTAACATTCTAACTAATATTTTTTTTGTACAAATAAACATCCTAATTAACTACAAATTTCTATCTTATTACTCTTCCAAAAAACCAATTTAGTAACTTGCATCTCTACCGTATTTAAAACGTGGAGGAACGTGCGGACCGGTGAGCGGTCACTCTTGTCTCCAAAAGTTTTAATAAATGAAAGTAATTAAATATATAGTGATCCCACCTACAACATATTCTGTCCATTATATAATTACAATCAGAGGCATATCAGATGGGGAGGAGGGGCCCCACACTAAAGAAAAACTTGCACCCCTCCCCATTGAAAGTGTTTGAAGCAAAAAAAAAATCATGCTCAAGTAGATAAAAATTACCACATATCACCTTATTTTGCAAGCTATAGCTCCTACTCACTTAATCATTAAGGCCTCTTCACCTTCGCTCCCACCATCACCCCCACCCCTATTTGAAATACTCCTGAATTCACCACTGATTCCATTCACAAAACATGTTTTTGTTTGTTTTCTTCCCAAGCGGATACGATCAGATCTGGTGCAGGATATTGATCAGTTACTGCAGGAAAAACTTGAAGCGATTCTCAATGAAACAGATGATGTGAAAACCCATCAGGAAACAGATTCTCCACAGAACCAGTTTCCCAGAAGGTACCATACTATATAAGTCAATGGTTCATGATCATTATATTTCAACAATCTTTCATTGTTTGACATACTTGTAGGCCAACAAATACATTGTTGATTTGTTTTTTCAATCATACTACGGGAAATCAGAGTTGTTTGTCAGTTTTTTGTTATGTATTACCATTATTTTGTTTATGTTCATAATTAAAGTCTAGTTATTGCTTTTTTTTTTTCTGTGATTTTTTGTTTACATAGGTTATGTATAGCTTATTTATTAGATTCATTATTTGTTGTGAAGGCAAGCCAAACAAGGAACTCCTCGCAAATCGTGTTTCGGAGGGCCAAACAAGTTGGAATGTCAATATTTTCTATTTTCAAAATCTACTTTATTGCACTGAACTGTATATATCTATACATCCTGCTGTTTTGTTATTTCCTCCATTTCTGACGATAAAACCAACTTTTTTTACGATTTGGTGATAGTCTCGTAAACATTGAAGACTGATTTTTCAAATACAGTACTGTATTTAAACAAACGGCTGTTTGTTTAAACTTCTTTAATTTCATAACTAATTGACTCTTTTACCATTTTATAACGTTCATTTTACTGCCTAAAGCTCTATTAATAACTATAATATTGATTTTTGGGCAGGAGTGACTAATTTGGCTTGTCTTTACGACTTTAATAGCATTTAATTCTTTCATCATTCACAAAATAATCAGAGAAATATAGAAACAAGCAAATTAATTAACTAATAAAAATATAACTCTACTCTCCTTCTACCTTTCTTAGCATCCTATGAAGTATGGTAAGTAGAAATAAAATAACTTGTGTTCCAGGTGTTGTCCAGGTCTTATTTATTTTATGACGTGATAATATTGAAAATTACAGTTATAACAAAATAATAAATGATTTTAATTATATTTTATTTGTATTGTGATCTCATGTATGTATTTTTGCAATTTTTTTTTTAATTGGTGTGTTTAATAACATTGATGTTTATTTTGTTTAGTGGTTATTTTGTTTTACATTAAAAACTTTGCTATCAGTGCATAACCAATTGTAAGTGAATAAAACTATATTTTCTGAATAAATTGGGTGGTTTTTATACATTATTTTTGTTTTATGTCCGTCATACCAATGTATGGTCTCATATTATCTTTTTTCAACTTTTTAATTCTGTTTTACTAAGCACATTATGACTTTGTTGTATGTGCTATAGCAAATTTATATACATTATATTAATACTTAAACAACTATTTGGATGGAGAGGAATATATTATTAAAAATGTATGTCTAGTGAAAGAAAGAGTGTATAACAAAAATAAATAGAAAAAGTTAAACACAAAAATTTGATATGTTGTACTATTTTCTAAGACACAGAAGGGGTGTTTAAACTCGAGAGCGGTTTAATGAGATAAAAAAAAAAGCTGGGAAATATGTGGTCACGCACCTCTTTCACCCAGTTTTTAAATATTAAAAAATCTGTATCTCATTAACTGTTTCCGAGATTTTTGTCAAAAACCTTTTTATGTCATGAATAGGAAAATCTGTTAGTACAACATAACAATTTTTTTTTCCTCGGAGCATGGCTTTAACTTTTTTTTCTTATTGCAAAACAAAATCTGACAAGCTTAATCCTGTCCACACTGTTAACCAATTTCCTCTTTTCCCTTCTCAGGGACCATTTAGCCGTAAAGGAGTTTAAAGCAAGGGAGTCAGTTCTAACGTAAGTACAGTATCTTATCAAATAGTTTAATATTAATTAATGGTGACACTGTACTTTAGCTGCCTTTCTTACTCACTGTAGCAACGTTAAGTGGAGGATTCGTCTCAATGATTTTTATCGTTGACCAATAGAAAAGGTGCATTTTCATCTAAAGCAAAATAAGCAAAGAATTACCAAATTATGGCACTTTTCAGACCTATAGGTAGGGGGATACAGAAAGTGCGGATGCACCACCCCCCCCCCCCCACAAATTCAAAAAAGCCCACATTTTTAAACCTATTATTTCACAAAATCGTTTCTAATTATCACTAAATGCTAAACATTGCATTATATATTTGCCAGCTCTTCTAAACATTGATTTTTAATAATGTGGTATGAAATTTATTGAAAATTGATAGGCTCCAGTGATTGCAGATTAATACGTAGTAGGCCTATACAGTAGATGCTGTCTCTTATACACATCTAGATGTGTATAAGAGACAGGGTATAAACCATCCGTGAAAGTTCATCCCTTCCCCCTCCCCCCTATTTCGAATTCTGGATCTGCCACTGCTTTAGTTCCCTAAACCCCCGCTTCCCAAACTTTTCCTCTGGGACCCAACTTGTGATTTCCCAGACAAGCTGCGACCCATGTATTAAATGTGATAGTAAACTGCACATGGACCTTTATAAGATTGCAAAAATGTGATGATTTATGTTTTAAAAAATGACTATTTGGCATTAGTATTACAGCGATTATTGTTTACTAATGATTTCCCTTTTGAGAAACCAGTGGCGGATATAGGAATTGGTAATAGAGGGGCCCAACTGAGAGGGTTTTTCACAGATAGGGGTCCGTCCACCACCTCAGCCCGACCATGGTTGGGGCTGAGGCAAGAAATTTTATGATTATGAACCCATAGATGGCCGGAAATGACACTCTCAAATTGAATTTGATACAATTTTCCTTTTTTTCCCCATTAGTTTTTTAATTGGCGGGTGGGGAGCCTTGAACCCTCCACTGAAAAATGAGACAACTTTTAATATTTGAAATGAAAATGTAATTGAAAGTTTTTGCAGAAAATATTGTCAACCATTGAATTAAATATTTGATGAATTTTACCTAAATTTTAACCCTGTGGTTACCAGTTGCTTATCAAGGATTTAAGGAAAGGTGGGGCAGGAGCTAATGAAATGAGAGTCCACACCACGTCAGCACCACATTGGTTAGCGGTGACGTTAGAAAATTTTCAGATGATTTTTTACATCTGGATCGATGCCCAAAATAAATTTAATTACCTTTTGATTCTTTTTGTGCTTGACAAAATGAGTAAAAAAGACCCGAATTAAATAAATAGTTGCCCGAAAATGGCACTTAAAGACTTACAGTTCCAAAAACTGCCATGTGGTGGACGACAAGAGTTGCTGGTACCGGGTTACCGGGTAGCACAGGGGTGAAGAAAGTCATTGATCGAGTTCCTAGTCCACATATAAAGCACCCTAAGCATGTTATGTTAGATGGATTTGGCGCAATATAAAATTACACTATTATTACATATCCACCAGAGCCCCACCGTGGTTGGAAAATTTAAAGAATTTGGGAATTAGAGATACCAGAAAATAGCGCTTAAATAGTACAAAATCTACACCTTACAGTAATTTTCGGTTTTTTTTTTTTTTAACAGTTAAAAGCTTAGATTTACACAATTATGTTTTGGTAAATGGCAACAGAGAAATAATACTAGTCATGAATTTAAGAATATTCATTGTGGGCCTTTAATAAAGTTGTTCTAATGAGGATTCACCTAAAGATGCTGTTTTTAAGTCCTCAGACCTGATTAACTGTCTGCAAATGAGCACATAAATTGATTTTTCGTTTTTTGCAAACCGGCCCGCGACCCAACACAAAAGTTTGGCGACCCATTTTTGGGACGCGACCCATAGTTTGGGAAGCGTGGCCCAAAACAATACCCAAATATATAAAACTTTCAGAACCATTAATAATGCCCTCATAATGCTAATTTGTTGGAGCTTCTAGGGATTCGCCCCACTCTCATCCTGTGGGGAGCCCTAGGTGACCTTCCCCCATTTTATGGTCCGCTTCGCTCGCAACCGCACCTCCCCATCGAAAATCTTGCCTATGGCCCTGCTTTTTATGGGAATGTATCTTATGTAGCAATGGCATCAGCATTTCTCAACATATATTTAAAGCCACACACATCTCAGCCCCACTCTACAAATTCTATACTATATCCATGATAGTGTTTATGTTTTTATAGGTAATAGACATTCTTTTGCAGTTAAACAGTATTTTTGCACTGATGCCAAATAAATTCATTGCTAGTTTCACATGCCTCATTGAAAAATTTAATATTTGCTATTTTAGAAAAAATAAACCCATCATTTTCCAAGGAAAATAAAAATAACCATGATCTGAAAGATTGTATTTAAAGGTTAAGTAAAGGTGAAAACATAAATAGCAGAATACATTAAAAAGATTCATTTTACTTCTTTTATAAAAAAAAAAACAAAAAAAAAAAAACAATGTTTATTATTTATAGTCTGTCTACCACTAGTATATACTGTAGGATAGAAAGTAGCAAATAGTAAATATCCTCACCAAAAAATAAATTTAAAATCCCAGATTTTAATTGGCCTAATATATATCTTTCTGCTCCAGAGACTTGTTTGGTAATAGACACATCCAAACTATTTACAACATATTTGTGGCGCTTATGATTGTCTTCAGCCTGAACACATTGGTGTATGACTTGTTAGTTCACGGCCGGTAAGTGAGTTTCAATTTTAAACATAAAATGGTGGTAAACCTGGAAAAATCTTACAAATTTTATTTGCAAGTGGAATTGTCTTTTTAAACCCTGTTTAGACTGTCAAAATAAAATATGTGACATGCCTAAATATGGTCTTGCTGACATCACATCATGACCATATGTGTCTGAACAGGACTTGAGATAAACTTTTGTAATCTTTAAAATGTGACCCAAGCTCAAACGGGCTGTAAACTCGCACTGCAATGTATTGAGAAACAAGCCTCAATACCCAGAATAGGGCGTAGAATGTGAATTTTGTGTGAATTGGGTTTTTGTGTAATAAATAAAGTATAACTATTAATCTTACTATTCCTAAAGTTTGAGTTTAAAATTCCAATTGTAAGAGGTAAAATTTAGCCATTTCCGGATGGGAGCTAATGAAAAATGAATAGAAACCTGCCGAAAATAAAAGAATTTTTCTCAAAACTTGATTTAAGAAAGTTGATAAGATGACAATTATTCAAACGGTCATAACTTTGCTTCCAGACACCCGATTGAGTTCATTTTAAAGTAAATGATATGTTCTATGCCATTATAACAAAAACTCATTTTGGTCTGAGGACGAGTTTACAGCCCATTTGTGAGCTTGGGTCACAAATGATGAGTCATTTAACTGGAATTGACTTGCTATATTTCCAAAGTACAGTAATGAGTAAAGTATTAGGGCTTCTTTACTAAAGTATACTAATAACTGCCACATTCTTTAATGCTAATTACACAGATTTGGCAAAGACAAGCCAAACCAGTCACTCGTCGCAAATCGTGTTTCAGAGAAAATGGCCAAAACATGCTGGAATGTAAATTTTTTTTAAATCTATTTTATTGCACTAAACTAACCTTTATATGTATACACATTATTCTATGCTGTTATTTTCCCCATTTTCAATGTTAAAACAACACTTTTTAAGGATTTAAAGATAGTTCCTGAACGAGAAATGCCTGAAATCATAAACTTTGAAGGCTGATTTCTCATATATTGTTCTTTAAACAGATACGCTTGTATAACTTCATAAGGAAATGTCCGATTTGAATGATTTTTTTACCATTTTATAGCTATTATTTTACTATCTAACACTGTATTAACAACTCAAAATTGATTTTTGCGACGAGTGACTGGTTTGGCTTGTCTTTGCCACATATAGTGACATTGCGCTGGTTTTGGGATTGCAAGCTAGCCTCATTTACTGTATCGTGTGTTTATTAAATTGACAAGAAATATATTTTTCTCATTTTAATTTTAATCACTTGAAGCTTAGCTTAAACATATGTAGTAGGCCTATACAGTAGATGTGAGATCAATTTATATAGTCAAGACAACCCAGACAGCGTATACTATAAAAGGTCAGGGTTGGTTACCAATTCAGTTTGATGATCCGGAAACACCAGCAGTGAACTATCATTCCTATTTTGTAATATTGAATGTATGTATTTTATATGCCTGGCTCACACTTACTGTCAATCAAAAAATGCCCTGTCAATTTCATTATTTAAACTGTCGTACTTCACAATCTTTTCTGTAAGGCTCTGTCAAAATTATTAAATTTTCGTTGACAAAAAACTGTTGTATGCCCAAATATAGTTGTTATGAGATGTCATCATGACCAGTGGCGGCTCTAGGATATATTTTCTTGGGGGGGGCTAAGTTGTCCGAGAGGGGGGAACTTGAGCTCGTAGGCTCGAGCTGTGAGAAGGGGGTTCCCCTCATAATTGAGATTTTTTAAAGAATATCAGCCTCTGGAAGGCCGGAAATGACACTCTGAGACTGTGACAGACATGTGTTGACTTGGTGTGGGCCTATTTTTATATATTTTACTATAAAAGGTCAGGGTTGGTTACCAATTCAGTTTGATGATCCGGAAACACCAGCAGTGAACTATCATTCCTATTTTGTAATATTGAATGTATGTATTTTATATGCCTGGCTCACACTTACTGTCAATCAAAAAATGCCCTGTCAATTTCATTATTTAAACTGTCGTACAATCTTTTCTGTAAGGCTCTGTCAAAATTATTAAATTTTCGTTGACAAAAAACTGTTGTATGCCCAAATATAGTTATTATGAGATGTCATCATGACCAGTGGCGGCTCTAGGATATATTTTCTTGGGGGGGGCTAAGTTGTCCGACAGGGGGGGACTTGAGCTCATAGGCTTGAGCTGGAGGAAGGGGTTGAAAGGGGGTTCCCCCTTCCAAATGAGATTTTAAAAAAAAAATATCAACCTCTGGATAGCCGAAAATGACATGTGTTGGATTGGTGTGGCCTATTTTTATATGTTTTATGGTCTGACTGCCCGACGAGCTCTGTCCGGCGGGGGGGCCTGACCTGTCAGGTCGGGGGGTTAAGCCCCCTGCCCCCCCTGGCGCCGCCACTGATCATGACCTTCTTTAGGCATGTAATATGTTTTTGTCTAATAAAATTTGATAGTCTGGGCTAAAGCTTTGTCTACACTATCAAATTTCATCAAAAAAGCATCACATAAAATGTTATGGAACACATTCAACTTTTTTTTATACAATTTGATAATGTGTGATACGACGTCATCGTGCCCATATATGGGCACATCACATTTTTTGTCACATGTAATTTGGTAGTGATAGACAAAGCTTTAAGGACTTCAAAAGCTGGATTTTGACTAAAAAAAAAATACATGCATTCCATTTCCAGTGTCTTAGGCATGTGGGGTTCAGAATTATTTCCCCATGACTCAAATTCCTTAATTCTTGGTAAGTTTTCTGTTGGATGAAACACATAAAAATTACTCAAATAGCAGGAACATGGCTCACCACAAATAAAGTGATAATGATTTGTGGCATTTCATGAACTTCTTAATTTTTTGTTAACACATTGATTAATTGTGCAATACAATACAATTCAACTTACTGCATTCTTTCACTTCTCAGGATAATGGTAAATTTTAACATAATTTCCTGGGCCTTTGGCAACTTACCAGGAGTTCTCTGGATCTGGGGCATTATGCAGCTTTACACGATGGTCATCGTTTTTTCACTCTTTCAATATTGGGCTAACGAACGACATAAAACCATGCACCTACCTGACGTTGTCTGGCTCTGCTTTTACATACTTCTGCAACTGGTTTTCTTCATCTTCCCTATTCACGCCGTTGTACACAATCAGCTTCCTCCTGCTTCGTCAATTATTATTCTCGCTGAACAAGCTCGTCTGATGATGAAGTCGCATGCGTTTGTGCGTGAAAACATTCCAAGAGCTATTGCATGGAAGCCCCACTCAGGTTTGTGTATCCAGAATCAATTTGGTACTGGCATAAAATGGTTACATGCTTATGGTCCCAAAAAAGGGGAGCATGTTTATGATGATGTCTCAAAATGCTTTGAGATCTGTACCGTTGTAAAAAAAAAATAATGATTAAGAAATGAATATTCAGTTAATTTTAGAAGAAATTGAGTTAATAAATTTATTTGTTTCTATTCATATTTAATTATGATAATATACTTTAAAATATAAACCAAGCATTTTGCCAGGTGCTTACTGCTAGTCATCAAAAACCAGAACAAACTGTGACCTTCGATTCCCTGTGGAATAGACCTAGATATGCTGCATCACATAACACTGGTATTTCAAAAATGAGATGTAGAGCAAGAGGTTCAACCACCGATTTCAAGGTTAAGAACCCAAATTGCAATCGCTCTACCAGTACATTAGCTTAGTGGTTAAAATGCTTGCCTTCCAGTCCCAAGGTCCTGGGTTCAATTCCTGTCAGTATTGCAGGATTTGTTCTCACGACCAAAACAACTCCACTCAAACCTCATATTGAGATTTAGTTTGGGTGCCAAGTGCCCAGATCTGTTTTGAAAAGTAGGGGGGGGGGGGTGGTGGAACAATCCATGACACCAAATGACCGGGAATGACACTCATATAATAAAATTCATCATCATCACATTACCATTATAGTCAAAAGGAAGCGCCAACAAATTTCTCACGATCTTTTATCTAGAATTTTCAGCAGTCATTGAGATCTAAATAATATATGTGCTGTGCCATAGAAAATAAAATTTTCAACATTCTATTTTATGTATTTACTTTATTGAAGCTGTGAGTCCACACCCATCTCAGCCCCACCATGGCTGCGGCTGAGGTGCGAAAATGTGGCCAGAAATGGCACTCTTATAGTAAAATTCATCACCATCATGTCATCACCATTATAGTCAAAATGAAGTGCCAACAAATTTTTCATGATCTTTTATTAGGGACTTTCGGCAATTGTAGCGAACTAATTAATTCCTGTAATGCACCATAGAAAATATAACTCAATTGTCTTTGATGTATTTTCTTTACTTAACCTACTTCATGTGCCGAAAACCAATCTTACCTTTACACGGTTTTTTTCTCATACTTCTCTAATTATAATAAAGGCACAGGCTCTGAAGTCGTGTATAGGTAATTTTTGATATTTGTGGGCAGAGATACTGGTATCTTTTGTTAAAACCTGAGTCATTTATGCAGTTCATTTCAACAAATTTCAGACATTTTTTGACCTCCGAAAAGTGGGGGATCAACCCCCCCCTTAAAAATATGTGGGGGAACGTCCCTGTCCCCCATGATCTGCGCCTATGGGTAGAGCATCGTGAGTGTGTGTGAGTAGGACAGTGATATATTTGCTATTGACAATCCTTGGCACATGTGTTGTGCGCCTAAATAAATAATAAAATAAATAATAAAAAATAAAAACAATTGTTTAAAACAATAGCTTCATGCATAGAAATGATTTAAGTATCTCCCTTTTCAATCCTGAGTTGTCAACTACAAATATCTGGATTTATTTCTCATAAAAAAAAATAGCTTCATTAACAAGCTTAAATAATTTATAGAAATATATAGAACATAGGTCTAAGAGATCAGCTTCACTTGATGAATCATGTTTAGTTCAGTAGCAAAAGTTTGATTTTATTGTAGGTCGTAAACTTTTCAAAATGGAAAATAACATTTTAATACTGTTATTGTATATGCTGTCTGAATCATAAATTTGCATCTTCTTAATTGGTCTGTATGTCTTTAAATAATATATCTACAGCTTTTGTTAAAATAATAATTGATTAATAACAAATAGTTTTATCATGTTTAGTATTAGAAATAATATGCTATATTTATCATGCAGATGCAGACCTAACTAGAAGAGCTGCTCTGCAACAACTTACGGAGGAAACCACTTTACGGAATGGAGAGATCAAACCAGAGTTGGCAGAGATCGAGGGACCTTGTCCAGACTTCTCTAAGTACTTGTACTTCCTGTTTGCACCTACTCTCGTTTACCGTGAACATTATCCACGTACGTCTAAGATCCACTGGAATGTTGTCAGGACGAACTTAGTTCAGGTAAAAAATAAATAATTATTTTTTTCATTGTTTATATGTACACATGCCAAGCAGACCAGACTAAGTATCATATTATTACTATATAGAATGAAAATTAATAGAGAAACTGATACAGGCTGAGTTCTTAGAACATTTAATTTATAGACTCATATTTTATACGCCAATTTTTGAGGACTTCTCATAATTTCTATTAGATACCAAAAAATATTTGGAGCTCCTCCAAAATATTGCAGGACAAATAAATTACAATTTCTAAGAAGTGACATTTTTTTTCTCGAGTTCATATATCTTCTATATTCTCTATAGAAATATTCATATAAATAAATTATTGTTTCTAGAAGCTACACTACCTTTAATTTATCATGTTAAAGTTTCAAAGTTTCAAAGTTTCCAACAGAGGGTGCCAGTCAATTTTCTGAATATATTGAATTTCTGAGATGAAATCAGACTAAAATAAAATATTGTAAAACCCCTATTAAGGGGATACCTTCGGGATGAAAAAAGTGTCCTGTGACAGGGGTTTCCCTTAAGGTTTTTTTTAACTAGCCAAGTGGACCAGCAAATTAATAGTTTTACTGGTCCTCAATCCCTTTCACTAGTCACTATCTTGCCAACTTCGGAATGCCCAAATACCATATTCTGACATGATAATCATGCTGGCCATCACCGATGAAGTAACACTGACAGATACAGAAAAATCGTTCTGTTGTCTCTGTATGAATTTATGCCGCGAAATATAAATACAGGAATCTATTTGTATGTACAGTGCACTCTCACAATACGATGTTCGCTACGATGTTCGGTTTTCCGGAATGATTGGTTTGTGGAACATTTCTATTGAATCCTTTCCGAATATGGCAGGCCAGTTAGGGCCTAGCCTAGACACTAAAAATAGTCTTATCATAGCCCAGTGAATTCGGTATAACTAGCCTACGAAAAGTTAACATTTAACATATAATACGTACAGTACCTGTTGTTTAGAGTGCACAGCAAATTGTATTACTGTACCAATAAAATGAATGCTTTTATTAGTTCCTATGCATGTAATGCAATAGGAACTATTGTAATCACTCTTCACTGTTTTTCCTTTGTTTTTAACTGTGTGTAGTGTGTGTGTTGTCTCTTATACACATCTATACAATTCAACTT